TCCTTTCAATTACTGACTTGCTTAGAGGCAGTATAACCTAGGAGGTTTTGCTTTCGAATAGAACTGAACTGCGGGCTCCATTCTTTTCCGCATAGACGCATTCCCTTTGGTGAAAAAATACTTCAAGGAGTATTTGTCAGGTTTGAGAAGTGCAGGCAATGAGCAGTGTGGTGCTTGGGAAAAATCAGCTGGAAATAGGAAGGAGCTGGAAATTAAATATGGAAACAAGAGAGCAAAGGGACTAGTTTGGGGCATGCAGTCACTGATTTCTAAGTCATTCTGAATTTGCTCCGTGAGGTTCCAATCAAGTTTGCTTGACTGGAAAGGAAGATGAGGAAGGAGATGGATGCCCAGTTCCATGCACAGAGGACTCTGAAAACCAGGAGTGACTAGTTTGAGTGTAATGGGGAAGATCGGGGGAGTCATGCAGGCATCTCACAGCTGGGTCTGTGGTTCAAGAAGGCATCACGCCAGCAGATAAAATAATTTCCATCTTGGGGACCAAAGAAAAGATACCCTCCCTCCAGCCACGAAATATGGCTGAATCCAGAGAGAAGGCCCTTCAGTAAAGCAAGTTTGAGCTGTTGTGTCCGCGTGGAAGAAATCTGCAAGAGAGCTCTGGACTCGATCCCCCCACCCTTCTGGTTAAGTATACTGCATCGTCTAAGATACCACGGATTTGTTTCCATGAAAGAAGCTGTGAGATCACAGGGCTGCACTGTGATGTCATCATAGAATCTCTGTGGCGCTTGACCAAGAGAGACAGCCTCTTGCTTCGGATACAGATATCTTGCTAATGAGGAACCTTGGCAGGGAGAGGAAGGCGGCCACTCCAGATAAGATAAATATGGCAGACAGAGGGCCAGATCCTGCACAGAGATCTCGAATATTCCACAGGATAGTCAGCCAAAACCTGTCTCTTAGTTTTTCAATAATGATGGATGACAAAGCCTGGGGTAAAAATAAACCCACTTCCAGTGTTGTTTCTGGCTGGTTCCACGGGAAACAGCATTGTTAACCTTGAGGGGACCGCCGTGCTGTCTGAGATTTGGAAGTCTGGGCCTCTCCAGGGAGGGGAGCGATTGGGGAAGGAGGGGCGTTCCGGGGCATTCGGGCCCACGTTCCGTACTTGGCGCCCTTCTTACTTCCTGTGTCAATTCAAGTAGAAGAAAGGCTCTTCTCGTGGCTGGTAATTTAAACATCCTTCCTTCACGTGCCAGTTCTAGGCCAGCAGTTTCAGGAGGTAGAGGAGCTGACATTCTGTGTAGCTAACACCCTAGTAATCCCACCGTCTGCTTTATGTCCATCTGGGGTATACATTCCACCATGAACTCTGGAAAGAGCAGCTGGGCCAGGAATGCAGAGAGACATTTTAAATTATTTTTTGCCCAATAACTTTCTGGTGAATATTTTTGCCCCACTTTCCTCTGTTTCTAGAAACACTTTGGAGAAATAGGACCACAGTGGCCCACAGGGGCACTGTGTCACCTTGAAGGAGCACATCCTTTTGAAAAAATTCAACAAGTCATTTGCTTTTATAAAAAACACTGCTCTCCACTGATAGGTCTATGGTTTAAACATAAATACTGATGTGTTGCTCGTTACAGACTTTTTTTTTTTAAGTTTTGATTTTGAAGAGTTAATGGCCACACTGCCAACACACTCTTAGAGAATAAGATATTAGCCGGACCCGGGGAGGTTTTCTTTAGCAAGAAAACCCCTGCCAGAAACAAGAATCCAAGACATCCCAAGATTGTGGACATTGACTATAAAATGCAGCCATCCAGGGGAAGTCTGGTGGGTGGGTGTGTTTTTGGTACGATGTTTTTTCTTTTTAAACTATTCATTTTATAGTCCAGGCAAAAAGCCAAAAAGCCAGATGTGACAGCTATTTTTAAAAAAAATGCATACTATTCATATCTTCTGTGCACCTCCTGCCTTTCTTCTGAGAAGTCCACAGTGCTTGGCTGGTGTTACTTCATCCCTGTATGGTACCCTCAGCTGAAGAAAGGATTGGAAAATGCCTGAGGTCAAGGAATGGGTTAGATATCAGACGAGACCTGGGTTCTTTCTTACTGCACCACATCTTGCTCTGGTTTGTACTCTGTATTCAGTGCACCAACATTGGAACAAGTGGGATGCCTTTCACACCAGTTGTGTTTGAAAGTGCTGTGCCCACTCCATTGTTTTGCTATTTGTAGCCCAAAGGGAAGAGTCTGAGCTTGTGAACAACTCTCACCAGACCGACTGACAAACCTGATGACTTTTTGGCTTATTTCCTGCATCAGGCTGTTTGCAAAGTCAATTTTGCATGGTGTACCCTCCCATTCACCAGTAACCGGACTCCAGGCCCACAGCTCTAGGGCACTGGAGTTAAGATTCCGTGATGCCCCTGACTGTCTCTGAGACTCACGCCCACAGAGATGCCCCAAGAGTAGTTGCATTGTAGGACCCTGGCTAATCAGTCCAGACTCGGCACATATTTAGGACTTCACCCCAAATTCTCTCCTTGGCAAAATCTTACTGATCTGTCCAGACCCAGTTTAAAAGTCTTCCTTTCAGTGAAGTCTCTTCTGACACCTCCAAGAAGTCAGACCCTTTCTAATCTGAGCTTCCCCACCACTCTCTGTGCAAACCGCCATGATAGCCTCAATCACGTTTTATCTTTACTTCCTGTTTACACATCTGTCTTTGTCTCGTAGATGTCAAACATCTTGAGGGCATGAACTTAATTTCGTTCTTTTTTCTGTCCAAAGTGTCTATTTAAAAGTCCCAGCTCAACAAATGTCTCACAGAGAAATTAAGGCACTCAGAACAGTCGATGGACACAGTTCAGGTCAGCTCACTGGTGTTACCATCCATTGTCCCGATGCCCTGATACACCAGCAGTGGTAATTTACCAAATATTGGAAGATATCTGTTAAGA